GTGTTCTTCCTTGTCTAGTATTTTTACTTCATTCTACAGAGGCTGATGATTATCTCTTTTCTTCCATATATGATCCACCATGCCAGATTCCATTATCTCAACCTTCACTACAGCTTATCAATGTTCCTCCAGATTTACCGTTAGGGGACAGTTGCGACAGAGAATATAAATGTAGAACAAGCCACCCTCTAAAAGTAAGGCTGAAGGGTCACTGAAAAGCCATAGTAAGGGATAACATGACAGACAGCATCTGCAGCCACTGCAAATCTAATAAACTCCACATCCCAGAAATTCAAACTGAAATGCTCTCTTTTAATCATCTTAGAGAATTTTTTTTTACCTCCCATCAGTATGGCTGATGCTAACCTCCAAGAGAGCAACTCATTGTGCCTTCTTTGGCTAAGGTTTTCTGCTGACATGAAGTGGAGTGATCATATTGAATCAATTGCTAGGTTTGCAGCTAGAAAAGTCGGTTCACTGTGCTGTGCTAGACAATTTTTCTTACGGATAAGAATACCTTTCCTCCAGGCATTGAATAATGCTACAACATCTGGTTTGGTGCTTCTGCTATGTATTTAGAGATTCTTGATAAAATCCAAAGAAGGATCTGCAATGTTAAGAGTCCTAGCCTGGTATCTCAGCTTCTGTGTCTTCCTCTTTGGTTCCTTGACTTTACAGATTTAAGCACAGTACTCAATTGGCAGCTAGGGCTCATCATCTTACAGATGAAATGGATAGATGTAACTGTAATTTTGTGTCAACAGTTTCTTCTCTTGCATATTGCCCTTGTGGAATTCTTTTTACTGGCTTCTTGCTTTCCAGTCAACTTTGATCTTCAAAAATGTAAATGCAATCTCAATCATTATCTTCTGTCTTCTTACTTCCTCTTCTTATATTGTTCTTTCTTCTTAATGTTTTTCTTTTTCTCATATCCTTTTACATTCAGTGACCCCATGTGTCTTAGTGGCTTTATTTCCTTGCTTGGGGTGAAATGATTTTAAAAACTTAAAAAATGGTGCATCTCAAAGATAATTTATTGAAAAGAAAACAATAACAACTTCTAAAGAATATTTCTTGCTAGTTAAACAATTTTTACTGAGACTCTGAACATTACATTTTGTTATTGGAAGTTTTTTTCATTTACAACTAATGTGCCAAGACCAAAAAAAAAACTTGAAAACCATTTCTGTAGACATTTTGGTGCAATTGATCTAGTCAAATAGCATTCCACCAAACTGAATGTTCATGCAATGAATAATTTTTGCCAAGATATTAAAAATGTAGGATTTATTATGTTAAGTACTATTTAAGAGTTTAGATTCTTTTCCTTTGTTTAAATCTTCCTATAAATTTATCAGATAGAATTCTTTAATGAAAAATGACAGAAGCTTAAAGAAACAAATATGTAATTTACTTACATTCTCAAAGTGAGTTTAGGCTCTTAGGCATTATTAATTATAAAACAAATAAAAATCAAAAGTTAACTTTGGGAAATTATCTTTTTTTTTAAATGAATCATATATGAAAGATGTTTATGAAATAAGCCATTAACGCTTAATAATCTCAATGACTAAAGCATCTGGTACTTATGTATTTGTATTAATTTGAAGTGATAGGTCATTATTTTAAAAAAAACTAAACAAAGTATAGAATATAAGAAACCGTGAAAACAGTAAAATAGCTTCTAAGGCAAGCCTAAAATGCATGTCTTGTAACTGAGACTAGAAAAACAAAAACAAACCAGATTTAAACTGTAACATTTTTTTAAATAACACGTTTTATAACTGGCAAATTTATTTAAATACAATGTTTAAGAAGGTGGATTCTCATCTTTAGAAATTTTCATCTCATATTTGGAAAAAAAATTGTTGCAGTGTTCACAGGTTTTCAACTTTTGGGGTTTTTCTACAATGGAGTTCTAAAATAAATTCAGTTCAACCAAAAAGCCTGTCAAAGGTCTGATATTTGGTCATTTAGCTAGATTATGAAACTGAGCCATGTTGAGAATTTTTCAGCATCCAAACATATCTATGTCAACTAGAGATGAGTGGTGTAGAAAGTATTGAAAATAACTAAAACTGAAGAGCCCAAAACCAAATAAATCTTCAAGTGTATCGAATCAAGATTCTTACTGACTCACTTTATACAACATTGAAAGTAAAGTTTAAAACAAATCATTTTTTTTAAAGTTTAACAAGCCTAGAGTGGACTAATGTTTGAAAAGGCTAAGGGCAAAAAAAAAAAAAAAAAAAAAAAGGAGTCACACACAGATCAGTCATCACATAATTACTCAAATATTTAAAGATAGAGAAGCAACTCCAGAGAAAAGCAGAATAAATTATTTTTTCTGCTCTCAGTCAAATATGTTTAAAAGCATAAGAAATATTCTAGAAACAATTGCATGCTATAGTCAAAGACTAATTTAAATAACTGACAAAACTATATTTTAGTACTGAAAATATTTACATGACTGAGTAAATTTTATTATTTTCTCATCAAAACAATAGCAGTGAAAATGAATGCATTTACAGCACAAAAGATTAATACAAGGAAAGAACAAATATATATATATATATATATATATATATATATATATATATATATATATATATATATATATATATATATATATATTCCTTTCTTCTAAGGACATATTTTAGCCTATGTAAACTCAATCAGATAATGTATCAAAAATAAAACAGCACATTCATAAAATGAACATATTGCAAATACAAGAAAATGTTTAATAAATTTTAATTTAAATGAATATATATTAAATCGCTGAAACTCTTGAAAGTTTCTCCTGCACTAAATCAGAAGTGCAATAACAAACTGCAAGACATTTAAGGCATTATTACAAATTTTGAATTTTAATAACAAATGAAAATATACTTAGTCCAAAAACTGTAGAAAAATGCAATCATTTTTATATAAAAAAAAACCCTTTGTTAGCTATTTGCCCAACTAAATTTAACTGGAAAAATATTTAAATTCATGCCAATAAAAGGAAAATGTGATGGAAGCTTTGATCATGTAACATTAGTAGTATTTTGATGGTTAACTTCATGAATTTGAATTACTCAGACAAAGCAATCACTTTCTAGAAGAGTCTTCTTAACATATTGTAGAAAAAAATGGGTTTTGCCAAAAGTTTCACTAATTTTGACCAGAACAAGTGGCATTGAAACCTTGTTTATTTAAAAAGAAAAAAAGCATAAACAATAATCCTCACATTTAAAATTTTTACATTAAAACAATGTATTTTGTCATCATAAAGTTATTCATAGAGAACAAGAATATAATTTCTTAGAAGACATTATTTACAAGGGATTCCTGTACATTTTAGTACTCAGTGAACTTTCAGAATGATTCAACCTACCAAATACAAAAGGCAAATATAAAAAGTCAGTTTAGAATAGTTTACAACATACTGTTGATTTAATCTTATATTTTTAATTAAAATAATTTTAAAAAAATCTGTATTAATCAATTTTTCTTTCTACATATCTTTATTTGAAAATTACAGATATAAAATGTTCTGTTGTTTGGCCTGATTTTAGATAGAAGTAGAAACAATTTCTTCTATCCTCTTCTAACCAGTCATATTAGCAAAAACATTGAGCTACCACCAGCATTCTCCTAATGGGTCATGTTATCTTGTATGATTATCAACCTCAAGATTTCTAATCTAAAAGAAAACAATAAGGAGTGTTTTCAACTATGTCATTTTGTAATTATCTTATCAATGTTCACAACACAATATTTAAAATATATATGAAGTCATTATTGCTATATTTTTTTAAGTTATACAACTTATTTTATATGATATTGTAATACAAGTTAGAGATTTTACCTCCACCTGCTAACCAGGAACAAGTGAAATGATCTATGAATAATCTTAGTGAAAAAGTTCACAAAGTCCTAGACTGAATTGATAGCTACTTTCTACTGACAAACTGTTTTCTATTACAGCAACATAAAAATAAAAACTATAAAAGCAAATATTCTTATACAAAAAATAATGACTGACAAAAAATGCATACAAATCCACAACAAATTCTGATGATAAAAAAACAAGATCACTTATAATAAAATTTACCTTCACTTCAATAGGTCTTCCACATTTGGAAAACAATAACATAATGTGTAATCATGTTTGAATGAGAATATTTCAAGGGAAAATACAGAAGTATTTCAAACAAAATACATCAAATACAGAAAAAATACTAATGAAAATTACTTATTACTAGGTTTAATAATTTATTTATTGCACTTTAAAAGAGGGTACCAAGTCTGATTCCAGGAACTGGAGTTTCTATAATGATGCTATCATTTGTTATTCTTCTTTTGTATCTGCCTATAATAACAAATTGTAACATTTATTAATGAGCACAATGAAAATTTATAGAAATTCATGAACAAAATTTAGAAATATTTCTACATTTTCTCATTGTAGATTTCTACTTCATCATATAAGCTAAGCAAAATAATTTATTCATCAGTGTGTGATTCTAACACATTGGTCCACAATCAAAGAGAAATTCCTACTTGTGGGTAATTTTAGTTTTTTGTGGGTAATTGGGACAATAGTTTGGAAAATTCAAACTGTCAGAATATTGATTTTTCTGCAAATTAAAATTATACATGTTATCTTTTTTTTGAGTCTGTTTGACTCAAAAAAAAAATAATGATACTTTTAATTTTAATTATAGTTAATCATAATCTTTGAAGAGGGAATAACATTTCCTGAAATTAGTGAAAAATATAGAGAAAATGTGTATTATGGATAAAAAAAATTAAGAACTACTTTTTTTTTTAAACATGTTAAATTATTTTTAAGTAAACTGACAAGAGAATATTTTATTAAAAAAAGTTTGTTTTTTTATGATTTGTGTAGAAACAAAAAAGTTTGATGAAATCATTTATGAAAGTTTATTAAAAGTAAAACTAAGTTATTAAAAAAAATAAAAAAGGAAGAAAAGAAAAAAAGTTTACTTTACCTATTTTGGAGAGTGTTGCAAAGAGAATGAAAACAGTAATAATACAGGAAGGTAGGGTCATAGGTTTGGTTTCCTCTGATGGTTGTTGATGTGAGTCACGTTGATAGAAATTTGGTTGATATTGATGATAATGATGATAATAATAATGATCATCTGACTGCTTTGTGGGTGATCCGTCCAGAATAAAGGACATGCCAGATCCCATCATGATTTGAGAAGTAGTTGGACAAAAATAATAATTCTGACAGGAATTACATTTGGCATCTACACAATAAACAAGTGTGATTAGAATTGCTAGTCTAAGATTTAGCAATGGAATCAAAGGTGGGATTCGGACTAGAGACATTTCACCCTTAAATAAATTTATTTTTGTAACTAAAACTGTCCGGTTTAGAAAGAAATATTTTACCGAAGAAAAAAAAAAAAAAAAAAAAAAAACGGGTGATGATCTGGAACAACTTGACAACAAAAAAGCAGAGGTGTGTACCTATGAAAAAGAAAAGTTTACAGACGAAAATTATCTGTCTATCTATACTTTAAAGTTTAAAAAATACAACATTTAAGACAGCAAACACTTTTACCTTACCTTTTTTTTTTAAAAAAACCCTATCTTTGTTGAAGTTTGAAATAAAGACCAAATGTGTTTTAGTTTTAAAAATCTAGTAAAAATGTTATTATCTCAAGCAGGAAATTTTGAACTTATCAACAATATTCTCAGAATAACAGAAATAAACTAAAATATTTTTTAAATAAATAAAAATAAAATGAAAAACATTCAACAAAGAAAAAGTGTAAAAAAAATGTTTACAATTTAAAAAAAAAAAAATGAAAAAAAAAAACACGTGTTATTTATTTTTATGTCGGGATCTTTTAAGATCAAATTATGACAATTAACAAACAAAAACTAAATAAGGACATTGACAAATCCGATCTGAAAGCGAATAAATACTTAAAAAAGTGAAAATTAACACAAATTATTCTAAACTAAAACATTTTTCAAATGAATAGAAAAAAGGAATTTTTTGTTTGAGAGAAAAAAAACTTAAATGACGGAATAAATGAGACATTATTTTTCAAAAGGAGTAAAAAAAGAAATTTAAAAAAAAAAAAAGACTTAAATCGTTTTCATTTAATAAAGAACGCTCAGAAATAAGAGAAAATCTCAGATAAGACCTAAATGACGATTTTAATCAAAATAATTATTTATTTGAAATAAAAAGAAAAATGAAACACTTGGAAGAAAAAGACAAAGGAGGAAAAGAAAATAAAAGAAGACAATGATGCGTGTGTGTGTGTGTAAATCCAACAAATCCTAGATATACACACGTATCACACGCACACTTTCCGGGTACATCACCTCCACCCTGCTAATCAAACTGCTCCAAGAACAACAATAATTATTACGACGAGCGGAACTGCATGGTTTATGAAAATGGCATTGGACATTTGTGTCGATGATTGACTTGGCGGTTTGTTCAAACATTTTCGGTTCTCCCTCCAATGGGGGCGTCATTTTGACAGACACCGGAATAATTAGGACACAGACAGTAAAACGATGTTAGAAGAGAATTAAAATAACAATGGGAAGAACAATCTTCTCCAAGATATATCGCTTAAGTGAATTAGTCACCGGACGGTAAAATACTAAATTTGGTTAATATTGGTCGGATCAATGGATAAAATCCAGTCACCATCCAAAGCGACACAACAAAACGGCTGCCACTGCAAGCAGCGCATGCGTTGTGCGATTCTTTATTTCATGTGCGTTAACTTTAAAGCAGTTACGGAAGCACCAAAGTGCATTAATATTCGTTATAAAGTGTTTTAATGCTTCTCTCCAACTTCCACTTTCTGTAATGGAAGTAGAAACAAAAACAAACTGAGAAGCTTATTGCGATTTTTTAAGGAAGATTACAGACTTAGTCCAATGGTAAAACAAAGTACCATGGAGTTTAAGGACTAATTTTAGAGTTTAGTTTAGTAATTAGTTTCAATAGAATTACACATTTTTATTTGCTAAACAAATAACTTGTTCATGTTGTTAAATGACTTGTTGATGCATGAAAGATTAAATACTGTTTCTGAATTTACCTGTAAGAATATATCAATCAAATTTAAACTAAATTAACTGAAATTGATTTTTCTTTATTTTGGAAAGTCATAAAAAAATGTTCATCTTTAGAAAATTTTAATCATTCTTTATCAAATTCAAATATCAAATGTTAGCATTCTGCGCTTGGAAAGTAAATTTAAAAAAAAAAAAGAAGCTGGACTAAAAAGAAATCGTTTCAAAACACCTCAACAATTTTTGAAATATAAAAAGATTTGAATTTACACTTTATCTGCTTTTTTTTTTCTTTGGAGGAGTTGAATATTTTTCACAAAGATTTCGCCCCCCTCCCACCGGCAACTATCCAAATTTTAATTAATTCGTAATTTTTATCAGTTGCTATGTTAGAGTAATTACAAAGAAAAATATTTTCATTTAAATCTTTTCATGAAAAAAGACAAGACAAAAAGATTCCATAAAAATATTCAGTATCAGATTTTCAAATAATGCTTGCAGGGGAAACAGTATGTTTTTGAGTTTTTTTTTTTTTTCATTTTTTATTAATAAACACTCGTGTACTATCTTACTCTCTCACACAAATATTGCATTCATCTATATAATGAATGCAAATATCAGTGTGTCATCGTGTCACACTTTTTCCGTTAAAGGGACACAACTCTCTAACTTTCAATAGCTCATCTTCTATATAATAAATACGAATGTCACTGTGTCACACATTTCAGTTAAAGGGACACAACTGTCTAATTTTCAATAGCTCATCTATATAATATGCGAATGTCAGTGTGTCATTGTCACACTTTTTTCACTTAAAGGGACACAACTCACTAACTTTCAATAGTTCATCTATATAATAAATTCGAATGTCAGTGTGTTACTGTACCGCGCTTCTTCAATTAAAGGGACACAACTCTCTATCTTTTAATAGCTCATGTTATATATAATAAATGCGAATATCAGTGTGTCACTGTGTCACACTTTTTCAACTTTACATATCATGCCATTTTTTAATCAGGCCGACTCCGTAAGCAAATTAAAAACATTCCGGGATGGATACAGACCCGCAATCCTGAAATTTTGGATTCCCAAGTTTACATATAATTACAATCTCATTCAATATTTTTATTTAAGGGAAATGTTATGAACTTTAGATCGTATGGGCATCATTCATAAAATTGTACAAGATACTTTTTTGCCAAACTAGCATTTAAGCTAATGCATTTATTGAAAATTTCCAAGGTATTCGCTGTAAATCAAAAATAAATTCCTTTACACTTACAAAGATATAGTAAAAATACACAGTATCTTAAATAAAGATTCCAAACGATATTGTAAAAAAGACTGAGTATATGTACTGCTCACATTTTTTTACACTGACAAGTTTAGAATGTATAAATCTTGGTCAAAACGCAACGTAATCTCTCTATATAACCAGTTCTCAACCATTTTTATTATATTAGTTCATTTAAGGAACATGATAAACACAGAGAGAACATGCCTGTGATCGGCTTTATTTTAGTACTAGAGATGATACAAAGAATGCTGGGATACATATGAAGCCTGAGAATGGCGTTCTTTAGGTGCATGGATTTGTTGTTTGGTGGTAGCCTTTGGTGTTGAGAAGATGTCGTATGTTGACAAAAAATTATTAAAGAATTGTTTGAAAGAAATACAAAAAAAAAACAAAAGAACGAACAAAAGGAGATAAAAAGGGATGCCTATAAATAAATCTTACTAAATTCAGTAGACACGAAAGACATTTTTTACAATTCTATGCAAACATGACTCCAAATTAAATAAGTCCTTCCTGGAACCTGATTGGATACGACAAGTCACGTTATATGCTCTCTACTACGTCGGCGCGGTTGAGCTTCAAATGACTTGGAAAGAGGTCATGGATCTGGGTACTGAGTACATTCCTGTGCAAAACTCTGATAGAGATTCAGAGCCGACCAACAGCGATAAAATCGGCTTGTCAGCCACAGTCAGCGACCAGATCAGCAACGACACAGTCAGTGAAGGAAAGTCAGCGAAATAATTAGCCAGCGTCCAGATTTAGCAACGACACAGTCAGTAAAGAACAATCGGTGAAAGACAGTCAGCGAACCAGATCAGACCTCGATCAACAACATAGACGCATGTACCAAGACAACGCGTATGTCAGAGATGATATTTTTATATACAAAGCCACGAAGAAAATAAGTCCTATATCCTTTCTCTTTGTTCACTGTGTTTTAAAATTACTGCTATCGCACGCACTCAATCAGCAGTCACACACATGTTTCATTAGCGCGTGCTTCACAGACAAACACGTAAACACATATTGGCATAACATACCACTTGATTTCCTCACTTGTAACAAAATCACTTCGAAACTTTAGAAACTTGCTTGCGACAAATCATTTCGAATAATCGAACTATTGATATCTTCATGGCCACAACAAAGAACATTAATTTTTAATATGTAAATACATTTATCTGACCGTGTAAATGTTATTGTCATATTTAACTTTGTCTTCTTCTTTAGATCATTTCTTCGCGTTGTTTATATATTTGTGCTGTATTTGAGGGTACGACACACAGATTTTATTTTTCCACCTAAAATTCGGGTAGACGGACACCACAACAGTGTAAATTTAAGGAATATTCTTACGATACTCGTTGTAAAACGAAAGAATGAATGTGGCTGATCTTACGCTAATAGGGAGCGAAAGAATGAGTGAGTTGTTGTGCTAGGCTGTGTGTGTGTCCTGGGAGCGATGAGATTCGCGTCCCACCTTGTCTGTGGCGCTATATGAAATCCGCATGCTCCTAGTTGGTTTTTTTTTTTTTTTTTTTTTTGGCGCATGCCCATAAGCCATAAAGGGTAGCTACTGATTGCATGTCTGACCAAACCGGTGTTGCGGCTTCTATACGTTAAACAATAATGTAACATCCTCCCTTTTTATAGAGATTATGATAACGTGTTGATGTTGTTTAAAGGAGCAGATGCT